AGGCTGGATTCGAACCTGCCAGCTCAGGTGTATGTGGCTGGTGCCTAAACCACTTGAGCCACAGGCACCGAGCCGAGTTAGATTTCTTGTCTTTGATAGAATAGCTTATTAAACAGCTTCAATATTGTCACCACAGGATTTCCACAGAATTATTTTTAAAGACAGGCACTTTTAAAACAGCATGTGTTAGAAACAACCCTAGGCCAGTGTATCTACCTAAAATGTATATCAGTATTTGATCATCACACTTACATCATGTGGAATTTGCTTTTCTCTTTCTCTTTGTTTTATTCAAGGGGCTCTTTTGTATTTATTAAAAGAATTGGCTTGAGGCCGTGCCTATGTCTCAGTGGGTAGGGCCACCGGCCCCATATACCGAGGGTGGCAGGTTCAAGCTCAGTCCTGGCCAAACTGCAACAAAAAAGTAGCTGGGCATTGTGGCAGGCACCTGTAGTCCCAGCTGCTCGGGAGGCTGAGGCAAGAGAACCTTCTAAGTCCAGGAGTTGGAGGTTGCTGTGAGCTGTGTGACGCTACAGCACTCTACTGAGGGCAATAAAGTGAGACTGTCTCTACAAAAATCAAAAACAAGAAAAAGAACTGGCTTTGCGCTGCTAGCACAGTGGTTACTATGTTGGCCACATACACTGAGGCTGGCAGGTTCGAACCTGGCCCGGGCCAGCTAAACAACAATGAACAACTACAGTAAAAAAAAAAAATAGATGGAGCTCTGTGCCTGTTGCTCAGCGGCTGGGGTGCCAGCCACATACAGTGGAGTTGGGAGGTTCAAATCCAGCCCGGGCCTACCAAAAAACAGTGATAACTCCAACCAAAAAATAGGTGGGTGTTGTAGCAGGCACCTGTAGTCCCAGCTACTTAGGAGGCTGAGGTAAGAGAATTGCTTAAACCCAAGAGTTTGAGGTAGCTGTGAGCTGTGATGCCATGGCATTCAACCAAGGGCGACAGCAAAACTCTCTCTCAAAAAATAATAATAATTGGCTTGGCGCCTGTAGCTCAGAGGGTAGGCTGTCAGTCACTCATCAGCTGGAGAGTTTGAACCCAGCCCAGGCCTGCTAAACAACGACGACGATGACAACTACAACAACAAAACATAGCCGGGTGTTGTGGTGGGAGCTTGTAGTCCCAGCTACTTGGGAGGCTGAGGCAAGAGAATCGCTTAAGCCCAAGAATTTAAGGTTGCTGTGAGCTGTGACGCAATGGTACTCTACTAAGGGCAACAAAGTGAGACTCTGTCTCAAAAAAATATAATAATAATGCTAATAATCAAACTTTGGAGCAGCTCATAATTGCGCCTATAACCTCTATGGACTGGCTAGACTTTCCTAATGACTCATTTTTAGTAAGTAACAGGATGTACATTTTCAGGAAGAAATTGGTTTTCATTATATAATTGTCTTTCGGTGACTATGTCATCAAATTAGGCATTCTGTTTACCTGAAGTTTACCTCTTCTGTAGGCAATTTATGTCATACAATTTACAGTTAACAATAATTGAGGCTATTTTTTGTATTATGTTGCACACATTTGAGAAATCAATTCTAGGGTGGGAGGATTTGAGATAGCAAGTATAGTATTAATTATTCAAGGAGGTCTGTGCATAGGAAATGCTAAAAGAATTAGCATAGGGGGCATGTAATTTTAGACTGAGGGAGGCTTCCCCAGGAAAGTATAATTTGATCTTAATGTTGAAAAAGAAGTTTAAAATGTCACTGAGCAGTTTGGAGTCAATATTCAATTCTGTATAACAATATGGACAGTTCACAGAAACTGAAATGCAAGGTTATTCAAAGGGTGGGAAGAAAACCAGATTGGCTACAATATAAAGTTCAAATAAGGGCATGGAAAGAGTAGCTTACAAAAAGGTACGTTTTAGCTAGGTTATAGATATTGTGATGCAACACTTAGGAGTTTGGTCTGTATATGTTACAGTGAGATACCAGTGGTATTCCACTTAAAACTAAAATGAGATAAGAATACCTGTATTACTACTTCCTTTTAATATAGTTATGGAGGTATAAGAAAAATTAAAGGAAGAAGACTGAAAAGGAGAACATACTTAAAATTTACAGAGAATAAAACTTATTTGATAATTTACAGTAAAGTTTAAAGTTATTAAAACTTATTTTAGGCTCAGTGTCTGTGGCTCAAGTGGCTAAGGCGCCAGCCACATACACCTGAGCTGGCAGATTCAAATCCAACCTGGACC